CCCACGTATTCATCTGATCTGTTCACTTCACTCCTTCAGTTCCTTCCACAAACATCACCTTTCACGCGGCTCCTGTCCTGACCACACTCTAAACGCACCCCTCCTCCTCCCCGAGTTCAGTGCTATCTACACCCCTGCACTGTTTCTGCCTGCCATACTCGACGGTCTATTTTTTAAATCTGAATTGCTTGTCTCCCCTTCTAGAACATAATGCAGGCTTCCCGGGTACAGGCACCTTGTTACTCACGAAGCATGGTGAGAGCTAACACTGTGTGCGGGCGGCTATGCTCTTGGCATTCTGCCACATCTGCTAGCCTGTAAGTCAGGCGATGTCAGAGACTCCAGATGAGGTGGATGCACCTGCCTTACTTTGGTACGTGTCACATTTTCAGTCACTTCTGAGGCAGCTACTTAAACCTTGCTTTCCCCACGTGGAATGTCCCTATCAAAATTCTACCCATCTCCAGTCAGGTCAAGACCTGGTCAAAGGTTTGTGTCTTTTTTTCCTTTAAGAGATGTCTTCTTACTTCCTCTAGCCCATTCATGATGTTTTTCTGAATCCNTTTTAAAGCGAGACATCACTTTGGCACAAAGGTCCACATAGTCAAAGCTATGGTTTCTCCAGTAGTCATGTACGGATGTGAGAGCTGGACCATAAAGAAGGCTGAGCACCGAAGAATTGATGCTTTCAAATTGTGGTACTGGAAAAGACTCTTGAGAGTCCCTTGGACTACAAGGAGATCAAACCAGTCAATCCTAAAGGAAATCAACTTTGAATATTCATTGCAAGGACTGATGCTGAAGCTGAAACTTCAATACTTTGGCCACCTGATGCGAAGAGCTGACTCACTGGAAAAGACCCTGATGCTGGGAGGGATTGAAGGCAAGAGGAAAAGGGGGTGAGAGAGGATGAGACGGATGGATGGCATCACCGACTCAGTGGACATAAGTTTGAGCAAACTCCAGGAGATGGTGAAGGACAGGGAAGTCTGGTGTCCTGCAATCGAAGGGATCACAGAGTTGGACATAACTGAACAACTGAACAACAACAGAGGAATTCCTGTCTTGCTTGCCTGGTGAGGAGAGGGGCTGAGGATGTAGCCACACCACATGTCAATCTAATGTTAAATGGCTTCGTACAATTTTGATGACAAAATCTTGGTCTATTTCTAAACCAATAAGTGAAAACATTAAAATATTCAATGAGAATCTTGAACTAAATAATCTTCAGATCAGTATTTAACAAGTGACAATGTGATTAGAATAAGATTCAGAAGTTTGAGATCATTTTTAAACTATGTCTATGTGACAGCCTTTACAGAAACTTTTTTTTTTTTTTAATCAACAAAGCTTTAAAATGCAGATTGGGAACAGCTTATTTTGATCCTGAAATATTGTATCAAGTTTCTTGCCTGGCATTAGAGACACAAGTGCAAGCCACAAAGATACCAGCTGTTACACTGTATCCCATAATTTCTTCTCTGTTGTAAGAAGGCATCAGAGCACAGATATCAATACACTAAGATCTAGAAAGCTGCCTGAATGTAATATTAAATCAAGTCAAAACAGGAACAGAAGCCAATTATTCCTTATATCATAAAAAATCTGCTTTTATCCTATTAATAAATTTCACAAAATAAGTTTTAAAGAGTAATCTTTTTATATCTCATCTTGATGAAAATGAATTTCTAAAGAAATATTCTTCCAGTCTGTAAAAACCAAACAAATCCCCCAAATAAATAGTAACCACAATAACAAAAACAAAACCCACCTTTAAATACTGCTTTTTTTGGCTTCCAACATTTCTCTGGATTTTTAAATTATAATCACATGCAAAGTTCACACCATACTAGTGCTATATGCCAGAATAGAAACAAATATCCTTTACAATTATGCTTGATATGTTATGCAGAAGCAAAAGAAAAGCAACCAATATGTAGAGGAGATGACAGATTAAGAAATACCATGAAATGAGCGGGCTTCCCTGGTAACTCAGATTGGTAAAGAATCTGCCTGCAATGCAGGAGATCTGGGTTCAGTCCCTGGATTGGGAAGATCCTGTGGAGAAGGGAATGGCAATACACTCCAGTATTCTTGCCTGGAGAATTCCATGGACAGAAGAGCCTGGTGGGCTACAGCCCATGGGATTGTATAGAGTTCATGAGATTGCAAAGAGTTGTATACAACTGAGCGACTAACACATACCACGAAATTAATGGAAAGGCAAACAATCACAGTGATTTCACTTTAGTTTTCTAACCGCTTATCTATCAATAAGCTAAAAGAAAGATACACTGAAAATTTAAAGGAAAGCTCTTTAAGGATACTCTGTATAAAAATCTAAATGCTTCATGAGCATCTATGTCTTCAGAAAATGTGTTAGTAAGAGAAATACAATCAGGATTCTTTATGTCTTGCTGGCAGAAAAGCAGCTATCTTCCAGATTATAGGTAGGATCTCATTAGCCTAATTCCAACCCAATTCATAACAAATGAGTTTTTGTTTTCTGTTTTCTTATTGATTTTATTTTTACGTAGTATTGAGCACACAACTCAAAGTAACAGTGGAATCTTCCTTTTAAGACTTGTAATGTTGGGCTGAACCATGGGAAATCACAGATATTAGATTGTTTTTGCCTACAAATGGCAACATCATATGATTCAATCTGATATTACCCCTTATGTGGATAATAAATGTAGTCTTCAGTCTTATTATACTGTTTTGTAACACAACTACAAATACCGCTACATGTTTATTATAAAAATTATCTTGCCCATAGAGAACAGACTTGTGATGGCCAAGGCAGGAAGATGGATTGGGAGGTTGGTTAGCAGATGCAAACTATTGTGTATAGGGTGGATAAAATAACAAGATAAAAACACAGGTTTTCTGTGTAACACAGAAACTATATTCCCTGTGATAAACCATGATGGAAAAGAATATTTTAAAAATGTATATATGTGTATAGCTGAATCGCCATGCTGTACAGTGGAAATTAACACAACATCATAAATCAACTACACTTCAACTTGGAAAAAAAAAATTGTCTTCTTGAGGTCCTACCTACTCTGTATTCCTAAGTCGGTTGCTCAGCCATGTCTGATTCTTTGTGATCCCATGGACTGTAGACCACCAGACTCCTCTGTCCATGGGATTCTCCAGGCAAGAATGCTGGAGTGGGTAGCCATTCCCTTCTCCAGGGCATCTTCCTAACCCAGGGATCAAACCCAGGTCTGCAATGCAGGCAGATTCTTTATCCATCTGAGCCACCAGTGAAGCCCTGGCATTCCTGATTTAGGGCCCCATAATGTAGACACTTGACTTTGATGCTTCTGCAACACCATCCAGGGACAGACAGCCTGCTATCACCCGTGAGCTGGCATTTATGCTCACCTCCATAGCATACTATCGAGAACACCTGGATTCCTCAGTTCATGAGGCTTTGCAAAGTTTGAAGGGTAATGGCAGGGACAGTGAGTCTCAAAGTTCAGACCAAAGACTTTTGATGATCTTGTATCTTCTAAGGCAGAAATATCCAATTTTAGTCTACCAACTACCTCACAAGAAGGCAGCACATCTCAAAAGCCACCTATCTTTTGCTCCTCTCACTAGTGGGGCAAAAACTCAACTCATCAGAATTTATAAATTTCAACAGCGGGCCCTTTGAGTAATTCATTGTACATAAATGTATTGAGCACCTACTATAAGCTAAGCACTGTGGCAAGAATTTGATGTCTATTTAATCTTTAATCTCATAAATAACTTATTAATGCAGGAATGCTCATAGGGTTATTTTATAAACATGAATGTTGTAAGAGACAAGACCACAGACCTGCTTGAGGTCCTAGTGCATGCGTGCTAAGTCACTTCAGTCGTGTCCCAGTCTTTGTGACCCTGTAACCTTATAGAGCCCATCAGGCTCCTCTGTCCATGGAATTCTCCAGGCAAAAGTACTGGAGTGGGCTATCATTTCCCCCTCCGGGGGATCTTCCCAACCCAGGGATTGAACCCACGTCTCTTCTGTGACACGCCCTGGCGGGTGGGTTCTTTACCACTAGCACTACCTGGAAAGTTACCAACAATTCTTGGGATTCTCTTTGACAGCCAGCCCCTAGGCTGACCCTCCAGCTGATTTCCTGTCTCTGGAACTTCTTATGACTGATCTGGGAGTCTTTTCTGCATGGCATTCACCCTAAAAAGACCCTTTAATAAGTAGACTTCTTTCTGACACAGGATAGACTCAGAATAGACTAGTTCTCTGCAGAATTCCTCTACAATAAATACAATTCTTGAGATCTACTGGAAAGTTTATAACATTGTAATGTCAAGGGCTTTTCTTGCTTGTTTTCTTTTTGGCCACATGTGAATAATTTACCCCAAGTGTTTAACTATACTGACTCTATTTCAGCAGTGTTGCCAAAGACCACGCCATCCCTCCCATTTGTTTTTAGGACGAGTTTTGCTCTAACAGAATTGATGGCAGAAATGATCTGCCTTGCAAAGATTAAGCACACTCAAACTGAAAGGCTAAAACTCTCAATTTTTTAAGACTTCAGATACACTGAGTAAATAAAGTGTATGTATGCAAATACACCTTAATTTTTGGATTATCCATCAAGAGAGATGAACAAAGGAAAATGACTACTTTTCTTACAGCTTCTAAGGAGAACAGAAGTAAGTTTAGCACCTCTGAAAGATAATTAGCAAAGAAGGAAATCTCTTCTCTAACAGCACCTGAAATGTCACATGGACTACCTTAACAGGAGACGAGACAGCATGGATTCTCCTGCCCTCAAGGTCCTCAAAATACTTGTCTGGAAATTGGTACTGCTCCCCCTGGTGGCAATTTAGACACATTGTAAGTTGACTTTTCATATAAGGTTTTTTCTAAACTGTTAGGCTACTTAGTCAATTTTATAATCTTTTCTCCCACACACTTTTTAAGGAAAATGGATTATGCCAAACAATTAAATACCACTTAAATGCCAAAGGAAACTTACTGTGGTAGAATCAAAAGAAAGGATGTCCACAACAGGGGGAGTAGAGGTCTGCAAATCGATTACATCAAGCTTTGGATTAATCTGCATATATACATTGAAAAGGCTAATATTAGATTTTTATACCATAAGAAATTGGATGCCATTTGTAACAATATAGAGGGTATTTCCTAATATGTTCTAAAATTAAAATATATTTGTATACTAGCATGGACACAAAATTTTAAAATACTAGCCTACCAAATCTATCAGTATGTAAGAAAAGATCATTGTGACCACGTTGAATTTATCCCAGGAATAAAAAGTTGTTTTTACATTTGAAAATCAATGGGATTCACCTATAGAGAGCTATTAAAAGTAAAATAAATGACCCACCTTAAAAGATGAAGAAAAAAATCCTAGCCAGTTCAGTAAGACAAGAAATGGAAATAAAAGCATTAAGATGTAAGAATTGAAACAGAAGAAATAAAAATTGTTATTCATATATAATTATCTATAAAGAAATCACAAAAGAATCTACCACTAAATCATTAAAACAAGGGAGTTTACTAGATCCAAAATTGATACACAAAATCAATTACATGTCTGCACTTTAGTACACATAAAATGTAAATTTTTAAAAATCATAATTTACAGTACTATAAAAATTTAAAAGTACATCAAAGAAAAACAAAGATGCATAAGACCTTTATGGAAAAATAAAACTCATGTAAAGATATTAAAGAAGCTTATTGAAAGTTATACCATCTACTGGCACAAAGACAGAAATATAGATCAATGGAACAGAATAGAAAGCCCAGAGATAAATCCACAAACCTATGGACACCATATCTTCGACAAAGGAGGCAATAATATACAATGGAAAAAAGACAACCTCTTTAACAAGTGGTGCTGGGTCAACCGGTCAACCACCTGTAAAAGAATGAAACTAGAACACTTTCTAACACCATACACAAAAATAAACTCAAAATGGATTAAAGATCTAAATGTAAGACCAGAAACTATAAAACTCCTAGAGGA